CCGGAACTCTAACTTCTTCTACTTATTAAACTTTAATTTTTTACAATCGACGGAATTGACTGCTCTAAAGAGAGCTCGTTGCAATCGCAAAAGCGCTCCACCAATACTTACGAATTTACGTAATTCGTAACTTCGCTTCCGTAACTCGAAATAATTCCGTAATTCCGTAAATCCGTAAATTACGTGCAAGCCTAATGGTAAGCCTAGATAAGACGTCTTAATCATATGGCGAACCACGCCGGTTACCAGGTCGGGTATGGGATTAGTAAGTCAGTTATTTGTTTTCGGAAGTGGCCACTGACATCTCTCAGAGCATATAATAATCACTTATATCCACACTACTCTGCCTATATTTTAGTCATCCGTGTAACGCTGGAGTGAACTTGACTATAACATCACAAAACACGCAGAACAAACGTGATTATTGCGTATTTGCGTTATGGAAGATCTCGACTCACATTAAAATAAAAGCATTTCTACTCTAGATATAAAAATACGTGGTAAGCTGCACGAATAAATCCAATTTCGTATTTTTGCGATCTTGCAAATTTATCAAATTTGAGCTATTATTGCCATTCCAATGAGTATAATTTATTTAGTACAATAAATGCAGATATTAATTAGGTTATATATCAATATTTTCGGGAAAGAAGTCGGGTTCAGTCTCGTCGGTATATAACGCCGATAATTGCTTTATTTCTATCGTTAAGAGAGTAGATCTGAAACACACATTTTGACTGAAAATAAGGAAGTAAATGCTAGCGAAAATACCACGACTCTTGATTCATGAGCCAGTGATAAATAAAATAAAACTCTATTTTAGGCGCTGTTGAATCGACAAAATTTTGTAATAATCGTATTTACCGAATTTACAACAAGGGTAACTTTTTACGGGATGTAACTTATCAATTCAATTCAATTCGTTTATTACTCCAGACCGCTGCGGTCCATATAAAAATAACACAAACAACTAAACATAAGCAAAATAACATAATAAATACATAAAATACCTGATACGACAATCAGATTCTCAGTATAGATCTCAGAAAAGAGTTAATACAGTAATCTAAATTCTAAGAGGCCAAAAGTGAAGTATAGAATCCAAGATAGCCCGTCACAAACAGTATCTGGGAATCAAATATTGATTGTAATAGGATGTTATTGGAGTTCCTGCATCTCGTCATGAACAACCACAGATTTTTTCTATCGAGTGCTTCGAAAGAGGGAATGTTCTTCCCAGATACCATTTTTTGACGGACACTCTCAGATCTAGAAACACAGTGACTTACGCCAAAATAGTATGGGCTATAAAATAAATTGATTTATACTGACGTTTCAAGTCGAGATCATCTCTAAGATCAATGGATAGGAAAACACCAAGGTATTTAGTGGACGAAACATATGTCAATACAGAATTACAAAGTTTGATATCAGGCAAATTATTCTTAAGATCGGTAAGTATGTTGATGGGTATTTGTCTGTTTGTCGCTTTGTGTGTTTGTCTGTCAGACACTTCCGTATGTTACGCGATATCTCGAGAAAGCGGAGTTAAATCGCCTCCAAAATTTGCATGTGCATTCATCATATCTCATACCAGAAGCCTGTTGATTTTGGATGAATTATGATAATTATAATTAGCAAGTTATCAATTAATTAGTGATGGGACACACGGTGTCGCTGTGGAGTGAGAGCGGATGAATCGAAACCGCAGTTTCTGTTTTAGGGATCCCCTAACTTTCGATCGATGAGTCTTCGGTCTCTGACCGATATTCTCGTTTTTCCGTTTAGCGTTGTTTTGATTTATACCAGAGCCATCGAAATAAAATTGATTGATTTGATAAGTCTGCAGTGAAATCCAGGTTCGGTACTGGTACAGTATCTGTACTGGGCGATGTACCGGTACTCATTTCACGGTATTTAAAAATCAGCCCAAAAACAATCAGAAAGTTGACATCTACGGTTTTTAACATTAACGGTTGTAAACATTAACTAAAAATCAGTAGTTTTCGGTGTTAGTCGTTGATTTTTAATTACGCGTATATCAAAATTTAGATTCAAATCAAATTACTAATCGCTCATTTTTTTTCTTCAACTATTCCCCGTTTAGTACACTCAAGTAAATATAATCAACAAACTCATATCAATGGTAAACATGGTACACAAACCTCAGATTGAAACACGAAGAAAAATAGCAAAAGTTTTGTTAAACGTAAGGATGTGGTTTATTCATCCAACTTAGTATAATTCGCCGGGATCGAAACTGTAGATATGTTTGGGCTGACAGTCAATCAACACATATATTCCAATTTTGTTACGAGGTTTTAATCTTGATAATTCAAGTATTCATAACATAGTATTAGTTTTTTGCAATGTCGAAACCAAGACATGGAAACAACAATTTAAGGTTAGAAATATATATACGTGTCTGTCTCAATGGAAAAATCACGATCTGACAAAATCATGTTAAATAAATAGCAACAAAAGACCGATTACAACGGAAGTAAAAGACTCTTTTATTTTGTGCTACGCTTAAGCTGGGTTTATGTACACTAAAAGGTTAAGCGGCATTAACCTACCAGATTAACGGCAGTGCTGTTATATTCAAAAATTTCTATACACAGTTTCGGTGTATTAATTTCAACGATTTCCATATTACAAATCTTTTCGAAGGTAAAATTCATCGTCACCTTGTGTCCACATGACTACATTGACTCGCCACAACGCATTTCGCTATTCAAGTGCAGAATAAAATTTGTCTCTTTGTTTTAGCTCATTTTTGGACACGAAGTGGACATAACGATCGTTTCAATATTATGTTGTTGTTGTTGTTGTTGTTCTTGTTCTTTGACACGTTTTTAAAAAGTCGCTTTTCTCTTCGAATACTGGACCAATTGCTTTGAAATTTTCAGTGGTTGAAGATAAAATTTTTCTCCAGAGGGCTATTACTTTTTTTTTCGCTATGACGTCATCAAAATTATTGCCATTGGGTGGCGCTACGTGTTCATATATTTGAGCATAGCTCTCTTGTTTATTAAACGATTCCAATTGATACTATTCAGGAAATCAGTCGTTGATAAAGTCACGTGTAGGCTTACCATGAAATTGAAGTTTTCACTTGCGATCGTTTGTAGGAGGGGACATATGGTTGATCAATCATGTGATTCCTGTAAATTCAACTGTTTATTTGTAAAAAAATGCTCACATCCATTGGAGTATAAATAAATAAATTTATTTTAAGTCCACTCCAAGGTCCCTAGTTCAAAGTTCAAACACTAAAATTTTTTATTGCTACTCTGGCTTGCGTTGGAATTATTCCAGACGAACGGAATCATATAGGTTATAAGCAATATAGAGTATGGAATCAGCAATATTTACTAGAAAGACTTATACCGAAATACTGAAACTCGGTTAGAAAGTAGAAGCAGTAGGCTAATGATTTGACTTGTTATTCTGAAATGCAGTGATAATACGGGGTTCAAGGTTTGACGTTTTGATGAAACTCAAAATGTCCTGATTTGTTAATTGACTGGCGGTGAAGGGAATTATTAAGTCCGATCGACGACTTCATTTGACAACACGAGTTATGTGCACAATAAAAATGCCGTAAAATATATTAAAATGAACTCGGTTACAAACGTAACTGTTCCATTTAAGTGCCCTCTAGTACAATTGTTATCTTTAACCGTTTTGACTTTTACCTCCTACGCATCTAGTCCTATAAATGTTTCGTATTTATTTGGACTTTAAACACAACGCAAATAAAGGATCATAAACGCTATAAGCATACAGATGGCTGTCTAAGCATTCGAGTTCAAGAAAAAATTAAAATCCCAACATTGAATTAAATGCTAGATAAAAATAAACAATATTTTTAGCTTTCCCATTAAGATAGATTTTCTTTTTACTATCTTTGACAAATCGGTGCCACCTCATTTTAGTATCGCGACATTTTAAGTACTCAGACTATTTTTATGACAAAAAGTTTTGTTTCTTTACTTTAGATTGTAGTTTCGATAATTTTTGGAGATATTCAAATATCTCGATATTATTCCATTACGAAGCCTCGGGCACAAAGCGAACTTTCCTATGCGTATCAGTGCACCGTCGCATCAAAACAATTTTGTAAACAAAATGGAAAATTTTCCAATTTGTTGAGCCTCTTTTCGAGGAAAGTTAAAAAAATATGGAATGAGATACTGTTTTAAATTGTTGGTTGACTATGAATCGCTTCTGAGAACATAGAAAAAATATGAAAATGGTGAAAATATTCAAATGAAAATATTTCTATTAGTAGTTATTTTCTCATTATTCTTATGTAGTATCATTTTAATACGAGATAAAGGAAATAAAATATGTATTCAAAACCATCACGATGGTCTGATGAGTTTAGAGATTTCCAGCTATGTTGGCATAGTACATTAGAGATCTCAAGTTCAGCAAGTTATCAGCGTTCACTCCTAGCTTACAAAGCATAACGAGTCCGGTTGGGTATACCGAATTACCGAAGGTTGATATCGAGAAGTGTTGATGCACATCTTTAAAATGTCGACCTATTAACGTAACAAGTGTTTCGTAAGAACAGAAAATCTTTTTATATAGAATATAATACAAAATAAGTTATACTTATCAAGTCGATTTATGAATCGAGTCTATAGGCAGGCATAAGCAAAAAATATGGCTGACGTAGATTTATTTGACAATGGGGATCAAAACTAATTTGAGTAGATAAATACACTAGCATGTCCAGAAACCCATTGTTTTCTACATGTTTTAGTGGAATAATTAATTTTAACATGCTGTAATTGTATTTTATAGTTACATTATTTCAAATTACTCAATTACAGGTATAAAAGCATGGAATTACATCAGTGAACAGTTGAGCGCGAATTTGGAATTTTAATATTTAAAACTTGTAATCTTCAACACAAAAAATTATCTGTTGTCAGGAAATAAATATGTTCATTTTCCAATTTTTTTTGCATTCATTCTGTTATAATCCTAGATTTAAGATGATTCACATGAATTATCGTGACAACGGATGAAAACAATGAAACTGAAGCATATTTTTCTGTGCCTCTGCTATACGTTTCTGACATCAGGTAATTATTAGTTGAACTAAAATAAAGTACGAATCAACATTAGCTGATATTTTATGTGCTTTTTGTAAACGTGGTGAATTGTGACTCTTTCGATGACTTTGTATGAAGTGCTTTGTCAATTTTCACTTCACGAAGACTTCAAATACGGCTTCAGGTCAAAACTAGATAATTGTGTATTACTAGATAATTACATAATTTGTTTATCACGAAAACGTAAAATATTAATAAAGTATGGAACAGTTTTCTAGTGTTGTTCAATATTTTTTGGGATGCCACGAATCAACGGCATTACATTGTCAGTCGACCATATTGAGGTCGATTTTCTTGGATGGGTATAATTAAACGTTTACCGTTTACCCTTGTTGATTAAATACAAAATTGCATGAGTAAATTATTTTCAATTTTAGTGTCTCCCTTCAACTGATAGAATTAACACAATTTTCAGAGTTTATCGATGCTCAACTTTGTCACGAAAAGTTGGGGGCCGAATGGAAACGAAATACATTTTCCACGCCTGGATTTCCAATTCCATACATTGGGAATCTCAACTGTTCATGGGTAATCGTAGCTGAAGCCGGCACACAAATCGAATTAAAGTTTTTTATCGTCGATTTGGAACCCGAGTATGATACATTGAAGGTAATTTATATCTATAATGTAGAAATTGTGGATATTTAATATTGTTTCGAATTGTTCAAGTATGTTGTGATTCTGACTCGATTAAATATACGAATATGGATCAATCATGGATCATTTTTCTTAAAATTTGGCGAGAATAATACGATAAAATACGAGAATAAAAACGACAAAACTTAGTTTTTGATGAAATACGCGGGGTAAAACAGATCAGTGCATAAGTTAATGACACGCCCTAAATATATCAAAAATATATCGATAATCGCTATCGAAATTCCAGCGAGCCAGTGTATCAAATGTTGCAATTCCCCCAACACAGAGCAGTGTATTCAGCAATTCAATTACAGATTTCTCATAGTTTACATCGAAGGTTCCCGCGCTTCAGCTGGTGGGAATTTGTTATCACACTAATAGTTGTAACTGCATAACTGTTTTCTGTGATCCATTTTCTGTTTTATAATTAGTTTATTCGTCATTATTTTCCACATTTTTTATAAAAACAAATTTGGGCTATTTGGCGAACTTTATAGAATAAAATATGCCTTTCTAAAACAATATAGTAACAAGCCTTGAATTACAACTAGATTTCAACTCTTTACGAAAAACAAGTGAAATTTAAATAAATATACAAAAGATCAGGTCTAATACCATTTACTATTTATAATATGAATGGTTATATATGATACGCGTTGCTGAATGAATAAAACAGTATTAAATTGGCACTCCACTTGACATTGATGCAAATAAATATATAGTTTTCGATGAAAAGTTCACCAAACTAGTTCGGAAAATGATCAACGTATAATTGTAAACAAATTATTCAACCAATAATTACCGGTTACGCGTTGCTGAATTAAAACAAATATATATGACGAATAGTCAAGAAAATTGTAACCTTAAAAAAGAACATTCTGGTGTTTTGCTTGGATCTCATTATCATGCCTTAAAAGATTCTTATCGCATCAAATGGTAGAAATACACGAAAACGTTAAACTTCGAGGGTTAGCCTGAGGCTCAAGCCGACTGAAGATAATCGACCAAACTTTGGAGCTAATGTCAGTAATCTACCCCATTTATCATCTTTCCGATACAAAGTCGCTGTTGTGAAATTGTGACAAAAATTGCTATTGCACAAAGATTTCATTTCGCAATAAAAGTATAAAATTCCTATTTTTCTTTCAAATTTATTTATAAAATATGTTCCGTAATAAACAATGATAAGCAGAATCGGCGGAGAGGTTTTGCTCAACATTATTTATAGAGCAACTATACCTTATAAGGAACCCTTTTATATATTCAAATATATATACTAAATTTCGTACCTATCTGCTAATATGAGACATGCCTGTGATTTTGGTATTAAATTACGTCGCTTCAGGCATGTTCACTAAACATATTAAATGCAAAGATGTACAAAAATACACTTGGAACTTTGTATCTCAGAATTTCGAAGTTTTTTGTTTGTTAGCAAAAAAGTATTTTTATGAAACAGAGGAACTATCTGTTCTCATTGATCCATTTTTAACCAAGCATTGCGTTCACAACAAATACTAGTTACATGACTGTTTCGGAGGAATCCATCATATCACGGTAATATAGTTTTAAAGTTTTTTCAACATGATATCCAATTTGGTATTGAACAATTTCTTCTTGTTATATTTCTTATTATTATTTTATAAGTAGTTCAAAATAGAATATATATATATAACATCTCACTTTGGATTCCAATTTCATGGAACTTGTTCACCATATTTTACCGCAAATCTAACCTGAGGCACCCGAAACACAGCGTCATAACGCTAAATTATTAGAGATTATGCGAAAGATAGTTTTTTCACTACTTGTTTATTTATTTACAAAAGATTTAGGAAGACAATGAAATATAGATCACTCACTAATGCCTAGGTCATTCAAAAGTCACGTTCGGAGGTAAATAAGAATGACCATAAAATGTCTTACAGAAAACTCACAAGAGGTAAAGATGAGCATTGTGTTATCGATGATTCTTCTTTATCTTTGTCACAATCTGAAGTCAAAATTTATTTAATTCTTCAGTCACAGTTCATCAACTGAAAAATGAACATAAAAATTATGAAAAAAGAGACTCATGTCATATAGCCTATTGCATGTCAATAATGTTTATAAATCTCGTCGTACCTATCCTGAATAAAATTCAACAACGTTTTTTCAAATACAAAACAATCATGTTCGAATTGTGGTAAGTGGTTTACAATATTTATTTAGTATTATTTTTGTGGTAAAAATTGTTCAATTTTCGTTTCAGATTTACGATGGTAAAGACGAAACTGCGCCATTGTTATCTGTTTTGCATGGACGAATTCACGTTCCTGAAGCTATTATATCATCAGTTGGATTTTTATTTCTTCGATTTACGTCAGATGATAGTGTTTCCAAAAGAGGATTTCGCGCCCAATACAGATTCGGTATGTTAATCGCTGTAAATAGATGCAGTAAAGTAAAGAATTCATTTCTTTGTGAAATAATAGCCTCACCTTTCATATTTATCCTATATATTATATAAAATGAAAATGGTTTAATCATATTGGTATCCATGGTATTCAGTCATGTTACTATTGCCATGTTACTAAGTTGAGTATGGGACAAGTATGCTACTCGAATTCGAATGGGGGAATTTCAAATTTGCCATCATGTACAGATTGTATGACTCATTCATAGAACGCAAAAGACAAATAACAATAATTACATGTTGGCTCCCACAGGCAAGATAATTTGCCTATTTGATTTAAAATAGCCTAGTCAATTTAAGAAATTTCATTTTTATGGTAATATTGTCATTGATTTGGTGTAGATAATATAGTAATCTCATAACAACAATAATCGCCAGCATTTTCTGCAACGCTTATTTTTTGTGGAATAAAATTAACCTCAATAAAAAAAATCATTTTTTGAAATCTTTATGTTCTGCGTTGACGCCAACATAAATAAGTATATTAAAGGCAGTTATAAAACCAAAAAAGCCAACACGTTGCTGGAGATACCTATACGCAATCTGGTAATATTTTCATATTTTAGTTAAAAAAAAAATCTAAAGTCTCTTTTCTAGGCTGTACAGTCGGTTAGTACGCCTTACTGACGGTTCCATTCAGATACACAAAAATGGATTTTCTTCTGCTGATAAGGATAACTCATTGATGTCCATAGATTAGCGACAAACTCCCCCTACTGTAAACAATAATATTCATTTTGCATACATCCAAGTTTCATTTCGACATGTTAAAACAAATCGCAAATTAGAAATTGCCAAAAATGTATTATAATAAATATAAATAGTGTATTATTTTGCTTAATTTCAGCTCTTTCCTCAAAAATGAATGTTACTACTGTTATCCAGTCCTGCTTGGCTGATACAACCATCAGCAAAGAAGTTTATAATAGCGACACAGTACCAAGAGAGGTAGGTAACAATTGGTTGTAATAAATTCTGCTCGATCCAACACTCAAGAAAATGTTATTAGATGTATCCTCCTTTTAACTAGGTTGAATTCAAAGTTGTGTTTCCTCATGATGCATATGTGACAGAATTTGAAATGACTGTTGGAGGAGTCAAATATTTTGGACAAGTTGAAAGAAAAGAAAGTGTGAAACAAAAATATGACAAGGTTGATGTAAGTCAAAGCTACATAAAATCATAAGAAGATGTATATATATATAATAAAAATGAAGACCTTAAGTATGTATTTGTGCCAAAATATTTTTGCAGGGTTGTCCATGGGACATATTTTTCTGTCCTATTCTCATCCCATAGCAATTATGCTTGTCCCATCCCATGGGATTCCCATTGGAATACAATTCAATTAAAAATGTTAAATTTAGGTTTAGCGTCTACTAAATAGGATTACATGTACGAAGAGACATGCAAAACAACAATATTTACGGACTTTGTTAATTTTATATTCATAACTAATATACATGTGTCCATCAGCCCCTTCACGAAGTATATTGTTACTGCTGAATATATTTTGCTCTTTATAGTCAAGAAGAGAGATATGCTCAAATATATGGATAAGAAGTCCATAACGAAATGTTCTACCATCATTTCCCCGAAAATCATACGGTTTTCGTGCCCCACGTGTCCCATGGGAATACAAATCTGTGCTGTCCCATCCCATCACATGGAACGTTTCCCATTCCCATAGACAAGCCTGAATTTTGTCTGCTCGCGGAAATTATGAACGACAATCGTTGCTCAGTATTTATTTGTTCAAGTTTTCTGGAATAAACGTTGTAACCGCTGAAATATAGGCAAGATCGAATCACATCGAAGTAATGCTTATTTGATATGTCAAATCTTATATTATAATCGCTAATAAAAAAAAACATTACGGCACTCTAATTACATATTGAATGGCATGTTCTTGTAACAGGTTCAATGGGTTAGCATGGGCTACGTGAGCTCAACAAAAGATTTAGCGAAACGATTCTTCACTGGAATTCTACTCAAGCCGAAAGAAACCGTCAAATTCGAAATTATTTATCAACAACTTCTGCAAAGAAGGCTCGGCAGGTGCAATGGGTGTTTGTTTTTGGAGCGAGTAAAATGGCAAAAACAAACTTTTTAAGACTCATTTTTTAATATTCTACATAATATTTAATAGAAAGAATATTTTTCATATGACTTCTTTCCTATATGTTGCAGTTCATTCAAGTTTGGTCATCTTTCTTCGCCTCAAAATATGCTTAGATTTTATGGCTTAAAAAAGATTGCAACAATCACCATGGCTTCATGTGCAGGAATTTCAGTTTTTTCGATCCTGCTATTAAAACATCATCCCTTTCTGGCAATAATGAACAGGCTACCCTTGAACAAGTGTAGCATTTTTGAGATAGCGAAAATACTGTCGAATATTGCTAAATTACACTATTTTCGCACAGGTATACGAACACAGTCGTGCTTACAAGAGATTTTTTACTGAGCGACTTGAACGTTGATGTATACATTTGTGCAAGATCGAAACTCTCGTTTTTACAGGTAAGCAATTTCGTAACAGTATTTCCTAATTTTGTTTAACTAAAGTTTCTTCGTTGACATAATTTCGAATAATAGAGAATTTGTATTTTCGTTCTTGTCCTGCAAAATTCTTTCTTGAACAATAGGTTCCTCCAATGGAAGACGCAGGAGGTATGTCCTATATGGGACAAGTTCGTTTTCTGGGACGACGGGACAATTTCCCTTCAGACGTAAAAGTTGAAAAAGAAGAGTAAGTTACATAAATAAACAGCTTACATAAAACACCTCGACGAAGAATATAAACGCGAGAGTGTTTTTTTTTCGATGTCTTTTCAATGATGCTCAGGTGCTATTCAGTTGTGTCGCTTACATTAAAACTACCTTTTATTATCAACGATGACATAAATTACTGACTCATATAACATATTATTTTTCTTTTTTCTTGGAGGAATGTTGCGCATATTTCATATCGATCGTCAAGAAAAGGAAGAGTAGATCCCATTAAAGTTAAACGAAGTGTTTTTGTCACCCATTACGATGTAGATCGGGAAGACCATGGAGCTTTGTCAGTCTTCGGAGGAGAGTGAGCAACAACAGTTTTTGAATCATATTGTACTTGATGACTATAATATAAAGATTGTAGGTATTTTGAATTTTAGCATCCGAGCTACGACGTTCACGTTGGAATCAACCGTATGTACTTATGATTTGGAAAATTCTATTTTACTCTATTTCATTTTACACCGTATCCATATTTTATAGAAAAAACTTTTTTGATTTTGATTTTTTGTTTATTGGATTCAAATTTAGTCTACGACAGACAGATGACTATTTTGTATTCTGATTTTAAGATACTTCGCCACCTTCTTTTCGCCAGTAAGTCCAAATCTAGTTCGCCGGATCGTGTTTGTTCTTGATGTTTCTGGCTCCATGGCTGGAAATAAGATAAAACAAGTAAAAAAAGCAATGAAAAACATTCTTTCAAGATTAACACGAAGAGTGAGTATAATACTTAATTTTTTCTGGCTCAACAACATGAATATATATCCAAAAAAGTGAACAGATAACATTTTTTTTTCTCAAATTGAATGTTCTTGAATTTATATTTCTACATACAGTACCATAAGTTACGAACAAATTTTGTTATCTAAAGCTCGTATCTCGACTCCTTCAATATTTTATAATTTACAAGACAATTATAGAATGGTAAAGATTTTTTACTAAGGGTATCGGAAATTCAGAACTATCATCGATATTAAATCTAATTTATGTCCCAGGACTCTTTCAACATTGTGCAATTTGAATCAGTTGTTCGCAAGTGGAGACCAGTTGGACTGGTAGCAGCCACACCTGAAGCAAAGATTTCGGCGAATAAATATATCGATAGTTTCGACCCGGAGGGTAAAACAAATATTCACGAAGCTCTAATCACGGGAATAAAACTTCTTTCCTCAGGTAAAATCTTAAGCATGAACACAACACATGAATTAACTAATTCGATTGCTTGTTATTTTTTAACGTTCTCTCGTTATAGAAGGTCTTCTGTTATGGATTGAAATAGGAAAAAATGCATGTAATAATAAGCCGTTTTATAATGGCCAAGAGCTTTCTAACGTTTTCATGACTATTAAATAGTTACAAAACCGGGCATTTTTAACAAATAATAATTATTATATAAACAGTCAGTCATCGAATATTCTTCATGTACATCGAAAGACAAATGTTATTTTTTCCTACGCTTTCTCAACAGGCAAAACGGGCGATTCTCTCAGAAGAAGTGCTGACGTTAATCCCTACAGAGACTTTGTGTTTTTTCTTGGAGATGGAAAACCAACCGTGGGAGTGAGAAATCCAACTTCGATCTTGAAATCTGTTCGAGGCGCAAACAGAAGAGGGTGTGGCAAATATTTAAAGTCTATTTGGTTAGCTTGTGGGCTTCTAACACGCAGATCAAATTTTTATTTTAATTCTTAAACTAACAGGTACGGCATCAATGCAATTGGATTTGGAAAAAATGTGGACGTTCCCTTTTTACAAAGAATAACGAGAGAAAATAGTGGGAAATGGAGAATAATATACGACGACGAAGATAGTCACGTCCAGGTAACGTGACTTCGGGTCATCTCAAAAAATACGATTTTACTATGTAATGAAAATGTATTCAATTATTACTACAGATTCAAAATTTTATAACCGAGCTTGGAGTACCTATAATGACAGATGTTACATTCAACTATTCGCCAAAACAAGTGAATTTCACAACAAGACGGCGAAATTTAGTTTTAGTAAACGGAGGAGAAGTTGGCGTATTTGGCCGTTTATTGCCAAATTTAACAGATGAATACATGAATGTTACGGTAACGGGTATGTATCGTGTTTTCATAAGGCTTTAGGCAGAGGTGGCAAGGTTTTTGAACCACGGATTAAAAATTTTGCCCACCAAGACTGGCGGGCCATGTAAGTGTGACGTAAAATGTTACATTTTATGAAAAATATTTACAGTGTTACAAAAGCAAAAGTGGAAAACAATAAGCCTCGTGCTAAAACTAAATTTAATCGCAATCGCAACAAATTCCTTGAGCTATTTTATAGCTGAAATATCAAAATTTGGTTTAACCTTGGTTATGGCAGCAACGGGTGGGCCAGATTGAACAACCCGACGTGCCGGATTTGGCCCGCGGGCCGTAGTTTGACCATGTCAGCTTTAGAGAGGTAAACACTTAATTAAAACCGAACTTCACCGTGGTAGCTCGATCCCAATACCATTGAGTTAAACTTGAGGTTAACCCTGATTTCAAAACTGTTGTTAACAACCTTCTTTTACTTTACAGGTAAAACATTCAAACGGGTGTCAAACACATTTAGTTTCCCGTTGAATCGAAATACCACTCAGTGCAACAGTATATCAGAAAAACTTGTCGATGAATTTGTGGGAAGAGGGTAAATATAATTATACGCCTGTATACCTTTTTAAACACTGACAATCACACATTAGTCAATTTTAAAATGAAAGTTTATTCAGAGAAAAGGTAATCACCTAAATCAAATCTCTAACACGCTAAAATTTTCAGTGGTGCCACAAAATATTTTGTGGATATCATCCGTAAACATAGTATATATACATTGATGTTAAATTTAGATATGGAATTGCCAAATTAGAAGAAACATTACGAAGACTTCGTGAAAGCACAGATGAAGATGAAAACGTAGCATTGACGGATGAAGCCACTGACATTTCACTTGAGTGAATAATAATTTTTAGAATTATTTTTTTATAATTTTGATATAATCTCTAACGTTATCTGTGAATGGAGAAGTTCATATCCGGACAGTCAGAATGACGGGGATGCTATCCTGGTATTTATCTTAATCTTGAATGCTCTAAATATGTGCATTTTATATAAAAATGATAATGTGCATTTTGACTATCACTTACGCGGAATTATTTATATATTTTTGATAAGGATATTTAGCGTTAAAACGTTTTCTTCACAATAAAATTTTAGCAAATGCATAAAAACGCGTCCTAAACTCTGTGACTGAATACTAGAGGTTGTATACATCGCATTGTTTTTAAATAAGCAATAAGAAGTAACTTTTCTTTTAAATATTAAGGTTTAACCTCGTCACGCCCGTGACATCACTCGTTGTAAAGAAACAAAATCAGACAAAAGAAAGAGAGAAAACAGAAAAACCTAAAATAGAAGAAACGATTAATAGGGGTTCAAAAGAGCCGAGGTCTGGGGAACCTATCGAACCTGGGGAAATAATCGATGAACTACCTGGGGTATCTAAACCATGGGTATTTGAAGGTGATCCTCATTTTATCGTCGCATTGGGAAACAATATTACAGTTTGTTTCACTTGGAATGGCACAGATGGCCAGGTAACATATATGTCTATCATTTACCGTTGTATATGTAGTAGTCTTTCAACTTTTGAATTTTCGTTATTTTTCATTTTTTAGATATATAATTTGCTGAATGACCCGATTTCTGGAATAACATTGAATGGATTGATAAAGTATGGACCTCGTTCACCAGATTCGGAGTCGAAAAGCAATTGTGATGTTTTGAATATAACAAAAAAATTAGAATTTTCTCACTCTAACAAAAATGAGGAAAATAAAACGTGTAATGCGGATATTGAATCGTTTTTTGTTAAACTTGGATTTGTTTTTCCAAAGGAAAGGATAAAAATTGAGGTGAGCTCGGAAAGAAGATTTTTGAACACTTTGTAACAACAATTTCTTGTGGTACATAACACATTCAAATTGTATCACCTCCGCTAATTTGTGGAATGCATGGCCAAATACTAATTCATAGGAAGAGTACATGTGTACTATTTAATAATAGCAACGTGCGACATAGTCCAAATGCTGTACACTGGAAACGTGACCGCATTTGGAGTAGATTTTTCCTGGCATAACAATTTTTACTCTTTACTCAAAACACGATGCTATTTGGACAGTGGACCTATGGATCGTTTTACTATTATTATGCTGTTGACCTTGTTGGTATTTTTCTTCTTATCGCTATGAAAAATCGCTTTAATCATGAACTACTTGACCAATTGCTTTGAAACTTTCCGTAGTTAAAGATTGTATTTTTTGATAGAAGGCTATTACTTTTGTTTTTGTGTGTGCAATGACGTCATCAAAAATTGCACATCTGCGGTACCAGTAATCTACTGCACACCCGTACAACTTTTTGGCCTCCGTGTTCATATATTTGAGCATCGTTCTCTTGTTCAAATTGTTTTGCTATGCTTGGCATTCACCAATAAATGACAAAAATTTATTCGATAAAATTTACCAGGTAACAACAAGAGAAGTTAGAGTGAGAGACGAAAGAAATCAAAAGAACATAATCAAAGAAGTGTTCCCAACTTCTGACGATAATATAAATATAGTTCGGGGACGTATCGGTATAAAAGCATATAACATAACGAAAGTTCATTCATTTGTCAATATAACTTTGAATGGAACAATTACCTTTATTGTAAGTATATATAATACGAATATTATTAAAAATCGCTTTTTAGGCGTATTTGCAAATATATAATCAAGACATTTTCCAAATGAACCATTTTCGAGTCAGATGGGTTATATCAAGAAAAGTTTATATCTTTTGTAAAAATTATTTAAAATAATTTTTATTATTTGCTAAGTTATAGCATGTTTTAATTCCTTATTACAGTGATTTTCACTGTAACACTTTTCATATTATAAATTTAAATTTTATAATATACTAGAAAGTGTTTCAAACTCAGACTAACCAAATACATGGTTACCAGAGTGAATTTGGATTTATTACATGTAGACTATCTAATCATTTGATATTATATATTTATTTAATATACTATGTGTCACTTTTTAAAATGGTCGAATATTTTTATGATGAAATTCCTATAGGAGTCACAAATTTAATCTATCGGTAATAGATCAATCAAAAGCGAGGACGGAATCTTCCAAAAGATAAGAAAAGAACTACTCTGATTGATCATCTGGATCTTGATATCGTGGGTCATCAAAATTTGTCACCATATACCGGAGGTCTATTCGGAGTATTCCCTACCGACGTGAAAAGGGATTTAAAAAAACAAAAGAAGGGGAACTATCCGGTTGCAAGACTGCGGCGACCAGGAAAGGAAAACTTATTGCAGTACAGGTATATTGTTATTCATTTTCTGACTTGTGTCATTTTTTTCCCAACTGTCTAACATTGCACACAACTCGAATAAACTTGCAAAACTTTCACAGGCAGCATCGAATATCTGTTGACAAGATTTCTATAGACGATCCGTTTAGCAAAGTTCCAAGGGAATGCTGGTTTACATATGAAGAAAACCTGGTTACTGGAAAACCAGATGACGCCTTCAAAGTTAGAAATATTTTTAGTTTTCCAAAAAAGGAGATAGTCAAACTCAAAAAGATGCAACATTGAGCTGGCTCATTTATTTAGTCATAAAATTACTTGAGGCTGCCAATGGGTTGAAATAACCCATTTAGAAAACGGTGTTATTCATATGTGTCACTGCCACAGGAATTTCTTCGCAGGATAGTATATTTTGAGGAAAATGATTTAAAAGTTGAACAAAACCAAAAGTCATTCGCAACCAAGAACAAACAGTCAACTAAAATCTTTTGCTTTGCACTACCAGTTGTATTACAATTTGCCGGTTTAAAGTTTATCTAATTTTATCATATATATATAACACGGTAAAATTTAATAGTTGTTTTTCATAGTCACATTACTGTAATTTTCTAGTTAAAGCTTTAAAGTTTAACAATATTTAAAAAAGCGAATGGTAATGATAACTGCGATCATCAGCGAGCGGTCTGTAATTTTGTCTAATATTTTATATTTTAGTCGTTACTATGTGCAGTGTTATGTTATTTTTTGTGTTTAGAAAGGTGTTTTATGTTCTGTTGCACGTTACTCTTCGTCTTTTTTTTTGTAGCACTTACGTAATCAACATGACAGAAAAAACGAGGAACCATTTTTTTGTCAACAAAACAGGAAATTTGGACATATACTTCCATTATATGATTTTTATGTTATACATGATTGATATATCGGAATGCTCAATTACTAATATCATTTCAAACTTGATTTTCATTCAACTGGTATAAAATATACGTTGCTTTATTCAATCAAATATCTTTAATTTCTCAACTTTCTGCATATCTCGATTTAGCATGTCTTCACACCTAATACAATTTGTTGATAAAAGGAATACCACATATACATAGAACTATTATGCTATCTAGCTATTTAAAATATACAGTCATTTAACTCAGATGAATGAAACACTTCAGAACACATATAGACTGAATCGCTCTGTTGCTACGAGGACAGTAACTACAGAACCCTCGGTGTCAAGTTGCAGTTGTTATCGTATTTATCGCAAAGTTCTTTAACGTGAGTACAATTCGTCCTAGGGCATGGGTAATCACATAGAATAGCTGGAACATACACTTTCTAATAACAAACCTGCTAGCTGCCATAAAGTGAACTATGGGCCCAAATACATGTATTTTAACTCTGGTATATTCTAGGGCCTAGGATATAAGGATGGGTAGTCGAGAGGCTGCACCATACCGGTAACTAAACAAGAGAAACCAGTAGGCCGCCGTTTCCCGGTAATGATCGAGTGCAACTATTTTTTAATGAAAAAAACTATTGTTTCGATTTGATTTAACGCCTGACTTTCTCTATCAGTGTAAATCGTCAAACACTTCACATTGTAACCACGTGGATGAGGGTAGGCTACTCCCGAAGTATGTGAACCATGTGGACACCATGTAGGGTTGGGTCCTAATTTTGTTCCAATTTCCCTTCTTTTAGTTCTATTACGGCTTTGAGGACTAGCCAAGTGACTTCCGTAGTATTTGTACCTGAAATTATGACCTAACTCTAACTTGGCACACATAGTACGTTCCGGTGCCCGCCATCTTGATTCACATACTTCGGGAGTATCGTTAGTTAGATAAGTTGTCCGGTACTTACCGTCAATATCAGTAGTTTCAAAACTTCTCAAATTAGGTATTAGAACCATGGGTGTCGCTGCTCGACACCAGCTTTGATTCACCGGGACTTCCTTTCCCCAGTAAAACTGTGTAAATCATCATTTCTAGTAATTTGTGTTCGTGTGATAACTTGTTGAAAAAAATGAACTTGATTTGATCGCGATTCAGGCTTCGAAAAGAGAAGTTTCAATCTCAATGGTCAAGACAAAACTTTTTTGAGCTCCGGTTCCAGAGTCAAGCTACCTAATTTCAGATTTTAGAATGATCTTTCTCTTTTTAGCGATTTCACAAAATCATATCTATTCTGGATGTTATAACGGTCCCGACCCCATAGGACTCAATAAAAGGTCCGTCATAGGCTCTGGGGATGTAAGTTTCGAATCAGATTCTATTTAGTATGTCATCATATTATTGTTAACTCTCTTCAAATTTAGAGGAAATATAGGATATATTTTGATAAAATAACAAAAATGAGATTAAAGAATTGAGAAAGTTACTAGAAAAACACACTGAATGGATGTATCAACTACTAAATATATTACGGCTGATATTTATTTTTGTTACATAAAGGTATAGCCTACTCAGTTACTAACTTTATTCACATACAATTATGTTTGCAAATATTACCGGGTGTACAGCGATTGTTTCTTCTAAAATTGACCTTCAAAATTCATCCAAATGATAAACGCTAGCTAGTACCGTAGGCGTCATGATTTTAAAAGAAGTAATGATCGCAGACATGTTTTTGATAAGTTATAAATCGATGATGTTTTATTATAATAATATTATATAGATAATTTGAAGAAACGTTTAAAATATTTGTAAAACTTTGTAACATTTTAAGTAGTCGAACAAAATTGAGCGAAACCATTGGTCCCTCGAAAGCTGCTACCAACATGAAATATAACGACTCTGGGAGTGTCACGGCTTTGGAAAAGTCAGCGCCGTTGTGTCGTGCAATTGCCTTGTGTTGTCTATTATTCTTTTTTTTTAAATAGAATCAAGCCCCTTTTTCTCAAATTGCTTCGAATCGATGTTGATTCGAATCGCTTCGGAATTCTGAAACTTACATCTCTAGTCATAGCCCATAGGTTCTCTCTATAATAAGAGGCAGTGATGAGCTGGAAAAATCGTAACAATCAGAACGCAAGTAATTCGTGAAAATGTATTACTGTATAATTACAGCACGTCCACATACGCTTTACCCGAATTGTGTTTTTCATAAAGTTTGTCGTCACGTAACAATTGGAATTTATCCAGCAGGCCAGACACTTTCATTTTACTCAGGCGGATTTTCAAGCGCGATTGTGAACCTTGCATGCCTTGTTTATGTAGTTTTAGGTTTTGAATATATTTCCAATAAATTTTGAGAATAGACGACGCTAAAATAAGTTGTCATTTCTTTTCAAACAGCTGTTTGATTAATTTTGAATAAAATGGTGATTTTGAAGCGTTCAACCTGTCGGCATGCACAATGCACACGCCGGAACTTAAAAACTATTTTCAAAATAAACATGGGAAAATATTATAATGATAAGGTATATGGACGTCTGATTGACAAAAGAATCTGAGCGACCACAGAAATTGCAACCTTTCTATCCTCGACCCACTGCCCCAACTGTCTTAACCTTCCTGTCGTCGATCCACTCCCATATGACCCCCAACCTTCTTATCCTCGACCGACTACCTATCTTCGACCCACTGCCCTATCTCCCTCAACCTTCCTACCCTCGACCCGCTGCCCTATCTCCGAAACTTTTTTTTAATCCTCGACCCACTGCCCTATCTCCTTTCTTCTTCCTATCTTCAACCCACTTCCTATCTCCATCAACATTTCTATCCCCGACCGACTGTCCTATCTCCCTCAACCCACTGCCCTATCTTCCTCGATCATCCTAGCTTTGACCCTGTTATATATTATGTTTGAGCCAACGACTAACATACCGGTTTGAGCTTACTTCTTGAGCTCTATCTGCTTTTGGGATGTATTGTTACGTCACAATACTGTCTAGTGTGGTAAGGTGTTTTTCCTTTGTTGAGGGGTCTTTTGGTCTGAATCAGTGGTCCCAAACTTTTTGCTTTGTGCACTAAAACAAAACGTTAAAAGATCACAACAAAAAATCAATCCGCCGTATAGTGAAACGAACAAAAGAATATAAAGAGCGACACCAAATGACCTGTTTCGATATTTGGTAAACGTGCAAAAGGGCAGCCATAGCTATAGCTTTGCTGTTAGTAAACTTGTGGGGACATGAATTGAACTCTCTCTGTGATCCCACAGCTATGTGACATCACAATGGGACAGCGTGACCGAAACAGAAAGTGAAGAATCAGTTTAGCTGTGATTATAAAGCAGCAAAAGGTGACAAATGTGAATTTACAAATTTAAGGACTTAATTTTTGTATTATCAAGCTATTGGCCATATTACAGATTTGTTTCGCGGACCCTCCGAAAGTGCTTCACGGACCCCAAATGGTCCACGGACCCTAGTTTGGGAACAACTGTAAAATTTGAACTAAGTTGACGTGCGGATTTTAAATAAATCGTGTGTAGTTTTGTAATGAGTCTGTGTTCATTACTTGTTATAAAGATATAACAAACCCGCTGCCTCATCTACCCAACCTTTCTATTCTCGACGCATTATCAGATCTCCTTTAACCTTTCTATCCTTAACCCACTGTCCTATAGCCTACCCCTCAACCTTTCTATCCTTGTCCCGCTTTCCCATCTTTATCAGAAAACCATTCCCCACGACATTTCTATCCTCAAGCCACTGCCCTATATTCTTCAACATTTCCATCCTCGTCCCGCTTTCTTGTCTCCCTAATCCTAAAAAGAGAGGATTACCTATTTGGTCATAGGAAGTGGAGATATGGGCTGACAAGAAACAGGAAATGTCACTCAGGAATTCTTGCGGACAATATCGGGCAGCAATTTAAACATTATACGAATTAGCATCTTCGACAATACATACGAAGGTCCAAACACGCCAGCCGTCCTCAAGATGTTCAATATATACAAATATATTTCGTCCCAACATTTCGAACAAGATTACGAGCTACAGCAAAGCTGAAAAGAACTACTACGACCAACAAGTCAATAATTTCACCGAGTTTTTATGCCCCCACCCCGCTACCAATAACTGGTAGCATAAATTTACGAAATAAAACGACCCAACGAAAGCTTTGAAAACGGCAACCATGAGAAACATACGAAAAACAAGAGAGCTACGCACAAATATATGGGCACGTTAGACCAGAGCGAATCAGTCTTTGCCGGTACCTTTGACGCTACCGGTACCCTCAAAAAAGTTCTGAATTTCCAGTAGCAAGAATTTTGCAGAATCAAAACGTACAGTCAGTCACTACACTGACTAAAATCCGTGTTCCCATGGATAAAAAATAATACAGCAAAATTTTAAACGAAATATCAAATTTCATAGAATTCACGCAAAATTTTGAAATAAATAAAAGTAATAGCCTTCTAGCGAAGAAATTAATCTTTAACCACTGAAAATTTCAAAGCAATTGGTCCAGTATTCGAAGAGAAAAGCGATTTTTTAAAAACGTGTCAAACAAGAACAACAACAACACAAGAGAGCTATGCTCAAATATATGGACACGTAGAGTCACATAATTTTGATGACGTCATAGCAAAAAAAAAAGTAATAGCCTTCTGGAGAAAATTTTTATCTTTAACCACTAAAAATTTCAAAGCAATTGGTCCAGTATTCGAAGAGAAAAGCGACTTTTAAAAACATGTCAAGCGGTACTGAGTTAGCAGTCAGGCAGCATCTTACCTGTACACTGTAGGCCATATACGGTAATTGATCACAGAACAGTTGTTCCCTTGCAAATTTTATGTTGTTTACACTTTAGGACAGATAATTGATCACAGAACAATTCTTCCCTTTCAAATTTTATGTTGTTTCCAGTAGACTCTCATCAAAATAAACAAATATAGTAGGCTACAAGTGCTACAACGCTTGCATTACTGCACTGGTAGGACCGTGAAAGAATAAGTTACGGTAATTTCATTGTG